TATCGCGACGAGCTCTCGCTCGCGTCCGTGAACGACGACCCGTCATCGTCCTCGTCGTCCTCCGTCTCCGTCTGCACCTCCACGATCGCGCGACGCGAGGACGGCGGCGGCGGTCCTCGCGACACCGACGCCGCGGGCGACGACGCGTCCGTCGCGTCGTCGTCGGCGTCGTCGCCGTCGCCGACGTCGACGACGCTCCGGCGCGGGCTCCGGTCGCCGTCCTCGCCGCCGCCGCTCACGTCGATGACGTTCTCCTTCGCCTCCGCAATGTACGCCGCGTCGCGCGCGTGCTCTTTCAACGACCGCCCCGACAGCGTCGCCGCCTCCATGACCACCGCGGCGGCTTCTTCGTACTTCGCGAGTCGCTTCCTGAGCGCGTCCGCTTCTTTTCGAAGCGCCAACGCCTCGCGGTCGTCCCTCTCCACCAGCCGTCGATCGAGCCCGAGCCCGACGGCGTTCGCCGACGCCGACGCGATCGTCAGCTCGGACGTCATCGCCATCGTCTCCGCGTCCGCGCGCCACGTGCTGTAGTCCGCGTCGACTTCGCCCGGGACGACGCGGAGGACCCGCGGCCAGCCGTTGACGGCTTGCCCGCCGACGGCGCACGAGATGACGTAGGACCCGGCGCGTTCGAGCGTCGCGACGAACGCGCCGCGGCCGCCGCCGACCGTCGCGAGGCTCGAAACGGCCACGATCGCGCCGTTACCGTCCAACCCCACGTCGTCGTCGTCCTCGGAGACGTACCCCTCGGGGGACGTCTCCGTGAACGACACGCGACCGACGTCCGCGGGGCCCATCGCGGAGACCTCCAGCTTTTGCCACCGCTTCCACCGCGTCGGATTTCCGAATCGATCCCTCGCGCGCATCCGCACCGTCAACGACTCCCCCGCGATCGCGGCGACGACGCCCGGGCCGTGCGCGCGCGTGCCCTCGAGCTCCGCGACGCACGACGACGCGCTCGCTTGCCCGGGGAGGACGATCACGTCGAACGGCCTGTACGCGCTTCGATCGCGCGCGTACCCGCTGTACACGCGGAGCGCGTATTTTCCCGCGATTTTCGCCTCGAATCGAATCTCCGCGCCGCCGTCCCCCGTCTCCACGACGTCCACCTCCGCGGGTCCGGGCCCGGACGCGGCGTCCACGCGGAACGGAAGCAGGTCCGGCCCGGGGCCGACCGCGTTCCCGTGCGCGTCGCGGCGCGTGATGCGCGCGACGCCGCGTTCGCCGGCGACGAGGCGACGCATCTCGCCCGCGTCGACGTGGCACCGACTGACGTCGACGGCGCCGGGCGCGCACGAGCCGAGGAGACGTAAACGCGCGCCCGGGTGCAGTTTCGACGTGACGACGAGCGCGTACGGTCCCGCGCGGTCGACGGCGTACGACGCGAGGTACGTGCCGTCGCCCTGGTCGAGGACGCTGCCGCGCTGCGTCGAGTCGATCGCGGACTCGGACTCGTCGTCGTCGTCGCCGCCGCCGCCGCCGCCGCCGCCGCCGCCGACGGGGGACTCCACGCGCAGCGTCAACGACGCGCCTCCGGCGGTCAGACGGTTCCCGCGCGCGTCCCTCGCCTCGACGACGAACTGCGTCTCCACCCCCGCGACGCACGCGCGCGCGCCGTCGCCGAGCGCCTTGCACGCGGGGAGATGCGCGTCCGCGGCGGCGACGCGGACGCGCAGCGGCGACCCCGCGACGGCTTCGCCGTCGACGGTGGCGCTGAGGACGTGCTCGCCAACCTCGGGCCAGCACACCTTCCCGGCGAACCGCTCGCCGCCCTTCGTGAGCTTGATCGGCACGATCGCGCTCACCCCGGACGGGGTCAGCAGCCGCAGGCACACCGGCTCGCGGCCGCCGACCGCGCGGCCGACGGCGTCGAAGTCGATCGCCTGGACGTACGCCTTGGTCTCCGCGCCGACGCGTAGCCTCGCCGCGTCGGGGACGCCGCCGGGGCCGCCGAGCAGCGCCTTCTCGTGAAGACGAAGCGTCATCGTCGTCC